AACGTTCTCCCCTGATGTTGGAGAATGAAGAAGGAAACATTCTCCAAGCCTTTATAGATCACAATAAAAGAGCCACTGGGAGCAAATTCCTCTTTTCTTTTGCTCAGTCCATTTGAGAAGAATAAAGCTCTTACCAGTGAAGCTGCAGCTGTGCTCACCCTCAGCTTAATCACTATACAAGGCTGAGGGTTAATTAGCTGCCATTCTTAGCTCTATTTGTTGTTCTAATACAGATCTGCACACACCTAAGACTGGAGTAACCGATACTTGATTTTTATTTGAAAGGTGATGCGGGGAGAGGCAGCGGCTCATCCATCCTGAGTGCTGATGTTTGTGGGTATGCGTAGAGCATTTTCATTTGACTGGACCTGTATAGTTCTGCCCATCTGAAGACAGACAAAGACTTCATGGTTGCTTACAAATGCAAGCCCCTGCTGGCCCATGCTGCACCGCAAGGCAGCTTATGGTTGGAAGGCAGATGACAGGGCAATGAAATACACAGGCAGGGTCAGAGCCCAGATGATTCCCTCCAAGAGCAAAAGAGAGCCAAATCACGTACCATTTACAGATTACCTTAAGTCCTCACTTAATGTGGCTGATAGGTTCTTGGAAACTGCAACTTCAAGCAAAATGACGTACTGTATGCCGCAGGAACCTAACTCTTGTTTACATCAATTAGCCTATGGTAAACTGGTTTCATTATACATTACATTATTTCACTTAAAGTTGCAGTTTCTAAAAACCTACTGATGACATTAAACGAGGACTTATGTCACACTGTTAGTATGATTTTTACCAACTAAAAAAATGTTATGAAGAATTTCAAACATATCCAAACATAGAATAGTATAATGAGCACCCATGTACTCATCACTCAAATTCAATAATTATAATGGTCAATCTTGGTATCTTCTACACTCCTCCCCACCTACAATCTTTCTGGATTATTTTGAACTAAATTCCATATATCAAAGAATTTTATTGGCAAATAGTCCAGTATAGATGTCTAAAAGGTAAGGACAGGTACAATTCCATTATCATGCTCAAAAATTTCTGGCAGTATTTTCTCAATATCAAATGTTTCACTGTCAACTTTCTGACTGTCTCACAAGAGTCATACATATTTGGGGGAAATTTTTAAATGATACAATATCATAACTGAGTTTAGAACAAAACAAGCTCAAAAACACTTTAGAGAGTAATAGTAGTAGAGCAGACAAATAGAAATGAGATTAATACAATAATGCTAGATGATACACAGAGTTACACACTTTTCAAGAAGGAAAAAAAGGTTAGAAATATTTCTAGCCATAACTCTGTAAATCAAGCATCAGGTAAAGGAAAACTGCTGATCTCCTAATTGTCAGGGTTCTCAGAATGATTAATTTTGTATGAGGTAAAATACCCATTTTTTAAATAGGTCTGAAGACCATAATGTAAGCACATTTTAAATAATTGTTAAAGAAACAGGTTTCATGTAAAGAATATTAACAAACATCTAAGAGTTTTTTTTAAAAAGCCCACAAAACAGCAAAAACAAACTTCAAAAGATCAAATCAAACAGAACTTAAATTTTATGTGTTAAATAATGACTTGAGAAGAAAGTCCTTATAAATAAGAAAGCACAGAAATTTGATTCCCCAATAGTATTCTCAACTTTGGCAATTCACAAATTAAATCATGTTTAGTGAGCAAGACTAAACTCAGAAAAAGCCAGGTAACGTCTAACAAAGAAGAACGCTCGGTTGGGCGGGTGGCTCATGCCTGTAATCCCAGCACTTTGGGAGGTTGAGGCGGGCGGATCACGAGGTCAGGAGATCGAGACCATCTTGGCTAACATGGTGACACTTCATCTCTACTAAAAATACAAAAAATTAGCCAGGCGTGGTGGTGGGGGCCTGTAGACCCAGCTACTCAGAAGGCTGAGGCAGGAGAATGACGTGAACCCGGGAGCGGAGGTTGCAGTGAGCTGAGATCATGCCATTGCACTCCAGCCTGGGTGACAGAGCGAGACTCCATCCAAAAAAAAAACAAAAAACAAAAAACAAAAAAACAAAAACCAAAAAGAATGCTCTATCAGGCTAAGTAAACACCATCATGAAGTGGTGGCCTAATAACACTAGCAGTTAGATCTACCTAGACAACTGCATTGAAAACAGAATGATTATTGCCGGTGCACCCATCAACTGGCTGGTAACGTTTGGACATTTGCCACCTGAGTGATAATCCTACTAAGTCAAGGTTCGGCTTTTTTCAGATTGTAAAATCCAACTGTCAATGTTGAGGTGACAGTGTTAGATACTATTCAATACTATCTTCCCAATTAAATTCAACTAGGTAGGTATTTATCAGTCATCTATTGTGGGCCCATTTGGTGTCCTAAATACTCTGGGAAATAATATCAACAACACATTACCATTTACAAATGGCTTTCATATATGCCATCTCATTTTAACCTCAGAGGAATCCAGTGATTTAGGTAGGGCTGGTACTAATCCCAATTTTATATCAAAAACTAAGCCTGTGGAAAGTTAAGTGACCATCCAACGTGATATGACTAATAAACAACGAAGCTGGTTTTCAAATCTACCTCTGCTGTCTACAAATATCATGCTGATAAAGATGGGTAGTCATACCCTAAAGAATATCTGTGTTGGAATGGACCAAAAATTTTTTAAAGAGACAAGTGCAGATTACAAAAAGAGTATGAAAAAGATTTAAAAAATAAGTTTATGTACGGATAAGAGTGAGAAAGTATTTTTTAAGTTGGTTAAATTTATATCATTATACAAGGCCAACTTTTTAGCGGACAGCATTTCTGGGTTAAAATAGCTCTACAGATTCAGTGTAGGAAAATCTTATTTATTCATATTTTATCAAACTTGTTTTTGTGATAATTTGAAGACACATTTAAGATAAACTTCAATCTAACCTAATCTTACCTACCTCTGTAGGTAAAAAACCTACAGAGATTGAAAGTGTACCAGATAACAGTGTGAAATAAGTCCATTAAACAAAAGAATGGACATTTGACTACTTTAAAATAAACAACTCCATTTAAGATTCTAGAAGTGTCAACATTGATAAAAACGAGGTACCAATTAGGAAACTTTATTTTATGTGTTAAAGTGTGACAAACTAAATGTTAGCATGTATTTTACAAATTCCTTTCTAGTCTCATATCAGGCAGGCTGTCTCTGGTTTTATGGAACATTATTTTTAGGCTTGTTCTTACTATCAATAGCATTATTTTCAAAATTTCTTTCTTTTACTTATGTGATTCTGCTTTAGTTAGGAGAGATTTTTAAGTTTTTGCAGAATGCATTTGTAGTTTTCTGAAACACAGCAAGAAAAAAAAGAAAAACTAGTTTACTGAACAGAAGTCTGTCTGATTGCTGGGAGAAGGCTCTGGGGGAATGAATCTATTCCTTTAAGCAGGAGTATCGGTAGAGAGAACAGGCTGTCACATACAGGCTTATTCAGGGTAACAGACTCCATTTCAGCTGACTCGGAGGCAAAGCAGGCCAGGCTTCAAAATCACCTCAAAAAAAAAAAAACAAAAAAGCCTTCCTGCAACATTACCTCCAGATGAGGTTACACACAGTCACAGACAAATGGGATTAAAATGGGAACAACAGGACTGAAAGAACAAAATCAACTTTAAGTTAGTGTAACATTATTGGACTTCACTATCTGTAGTAAAGTATGAATTAATTCAAAAAATATTTTATAATGATCCCGCACAATTTTATTTTTTGGGCAGGCTGGGTGCGGTGGTGGCTCATGCCTGTAATCCCAGCACTTTGGGAGGCCAAGGTGGGCAGATCACAAGGTCAGGAGTTCGAGACCTGCCTGGCCAACACAGTGAAACCCCGTCTCTACTAAAAGTGCAAAAATTAGCTGGGCATGGCAGTGCACGGCTGTAATCCCAGCTACTTGGGGGGCTGAGACAGCAGAATCACTTGAATCCAGGAGGCGAAGGTTGTGGTGAGCTGAGATCGTGCCACTGCACTACCGCCTGGGCGACACAGTGAGACTCCATTAAAAAAAAAAAAATACTAATTTGCCACTTAAAAAAAAAGTTTTTATTGCTGAAAAATAAAAAAATACAAAAGCAGAAAGACTGTTATTTCTTGATGTTTTATAAAACAGCCAGGATCCTAAGCAACCCCACTGACACTCGTCATTTTCATTTGTGTAAAATTTCATGTATCTAGTGAACAGAGTTTATTCTTGATTGTAGAAGAGGGAATCTCATGCAATATTTAAGCTATTAATTACTCAAAAAATATTTCTCCCACTGAGAACATCAATGAAAACCCTAGAGCTATCTTTGGAGTTTTGTATTTTCTAAAATAAACCCAATGTGTAAAGAAATGGCCCAGGAATTAAGAATTTTCAGTGTTAAGCACACCAGCAAGCCATAAAGGCCTGGCTATAGATTTCTTGTTTTCTTGGGAGGTGTATTTCCTTGTTTACTTTTGGGGTATATCCTAGAACAGACCATTCAGGACCGTTCTAATAGCTTGTCGGGATGCACAGTTATTAGGATGCCAAAAAGGTCACGTTTGCATGGTGCTGCTGGTTATTATCAGATTTTAATAGCCCACATTCCTCAAATTAACATCTTCTAGTAGGCATCTAATTAAAGATTAAGCTATTCAACTTGAATTTTTATTATTATTTGGCAGGACAACTTAATTCATTCTTTAAATGCACTTTCCCATTTAAAATGATTTTTCATTTTTTTTTTTCTTTTTTTTTTTTTTTTTTTTACCACACTGTGCCTTTTCCTTTTTGGCAAATAATAGGTCTTAAAAACACTAATGAGAAGATCCAACTTAAAAAGAATGTAGTTACATACTAGGAAAATTTAACAGTAATAATAGTAGTAGAAGCAGTGGTGGTGGTGGTGGTAGTAGTAGTTGTATACAAGTTACTAAAGTCTGACATTTACATCTTGAGAAGCTCCAATTCATACCAGACTTAAAGTCTCTTACCAGGGTTGCAATCTGTAAGAAGTGAGCAGATGGAGAGGAGAACTTTAGAAATAGTTAAAGCCGGACTCCAGTTGTCCTTTAAGATGTCCAGACAGATCACGCCTTGGCTGTTAATATTACAGTGATAGATTCTTGTTCGGAAGGTAACCTACAAGAAAATGTAAAGTTATATTTTGTTAGACAAAATATGTTTATCAACAGTATCTATAGACAATTTTTGTCTGATAAAATTGTCTATTTTATCAGACAAAACAGTCCAGGCTATTGGTTTAAATACACTTGATTTTTTTCTTGGGCACATGAGATTAATCAACAGACAGAGATCATCATTTTAGAATCTGTCATTGTGGGCACAGAGGAATAAACATCAACAGCAAAACCATGACATTCTGCTTCTTATAGAGTCCTGTTATTTAACAAACGTTTTAGGGACTGAGTTTACTTTTGATATAATTACAGGAATGTTCATGAGGAGAAATTGACTCTGACTTCTAAAAAATTTCAAAGAAAACCTTTGTTAGATTCCAGTTATTTTAAGGATTTTGTACATTTATAATATTCAAACACCAAAAAGCATGAGAGTACTAATACAAAGAAAATAAACATTATTCTATAACAGTTTTTTTTTTTTTTTTAGACAGAGTCTCAGGCTGGAGTGCATTGCCCAGGCTGGAGTACAGCGGCGTGATCTTGGCTGACTGCAACCTCCACCTCTCGGTTTCATGTGATTGTCCTGCTTCAGCCTCCCAAGTAGCTGGGATTACAGGTGCCTGCCACCACGCCCGGCTAATTTTTGTATTTTTAGTAGAGACGGGGTTTTGCCATGTTGGCCAGGCTGGTCTCGAACTCCTGACCTCAAGTCATCCACCTGCCTTGGCCTCCCAAAGTGCTGGGATTACAGGTGTGAGCCACCATGTCCGGCCTAGAACAAAGTTTTAAAACATAAACTAAGGCATCTACATAAATAACATGCCTAGTTCATAGAACTATATTAGTATAATCATAGTAGTTACACTTTATTATATTAGTTTATTAGTTATATTACTATAGTAGTTACAGTTAGTTGTAATTTACAAATCTTTTCCTTCTTAAATTTTATTTTTAAAATGTAATATTAATGCATAGTCTTTGCCCTGTGATAGCTAGATCACCACTGTATGTTGCTTATGTATAACTGTGAAACATAACATGTTTAAAACACTTCAACTGAAAAAAATTAAGTGCAAATCAGTTTTATAACTACTATAACTCTGTTTATAAGTGTTATGTAAGCAGCAATAAGATGTGAATACTATTTATTAATATTATGTTCATGAATGTGCTTAAATTTTAAGTTGAAAAATACAAAAATCTCAGTGTTCTAAACACAGTCTTTTGGTACTACATCTTAAATGCCTAGAAATGCTGAAGAAATTATAATGAACATTCTTTAAAATGCAAAGCAGAACCTGCAAGGGGAATCCCCACAGTCTAGAACTAAAAGCCAAAAATTATAGTAAGTGCAACAAGCTGAGAGTGCACCTGCCATGGGTGGGGTTTTGGGAAGAGGGAAGGGAGTAAAAGATGGTATTCAGTCTTAACAAAATGGAGGTTTGGGTTTTGATGCCTTCATGGAAAAAGAAGATGAAATCTAAGGCCTGTATGTTACAACAGTTTAGAATTGAGCACCCTTATAGAAATTAGGAAACGCTAATGGCTAGTCTTTCAGTAAATGGATGGACTTGAAAAAATATGCCTTATGACACAGATAGCAAAGAAACTTACCAAAGCAAGCCTGGGCTCTAGACTGAGAAATGTTTTTCCTGAGAATTCTAAATCCTAGACACATACACTGTATAAACACTAGCTAACAAAAAGAGCTTAAATGACTATATTATTATCAGGTCAAAATACATTTAAGGCAAAAAGCATTGTTAGAAACAAAGAACTTTACTGATAAAATAAACAACTCATCAAGAAAACAGTAACAATTCTGAATCTGCTGTATCTAACAATATAGCCAAAAATATACAAAGTAAAAATCTGCAAGATTATAAGGAGAAAAATGACATATCTATAGTCAAAGAGGAACACTTTCACTACAGCAACTGATAAGTAAACCAGACTAAAGATTAGTAAGGATATTAGAGATTTGAACAACTGGATAAACAAAATCAAGGGACTGAATGAAGATAAAATCCTACACTTAATGATTAAGGAACATTTAAGAAACATTTATAAAAACTGATCACATGCTAAGCCACAAAAGAAGCTTCACATATTTCAAAGAATTGACATTATTAAGACCATAATGCAAAGTCAGAATCTACATATAAAAACATCCCCCTATCATATGTTTGGAAACAGAAAACCTCATTTTCAAATAATTCTTAGATCAAAGAAAAAATCAGTTACTATTATAGCTGAATGACAATGAAAATATTGGGTTGCCAATGTCAAAATTTTGTGACTCAGCTAAAACAACTGTAAAAGAAAAATCTACCGTTTCAAATACATATATTAGGAAGGAAGAAAGATACTTAATGAGTTAAGTGTCCAACTCAGGAAGGTAGTAAGAGAACAACAGACTGAACTCCAGGAAAGAAGAAATAAAGACACTAGCCTAAGTTAATGAAACACAGACTATCTCGTGATATTAAAATTTCTGTGGAGAAGGCAGAGTGCCTATTCCTTTCAGTACTAAATGAAAAGATAAAATATTTTTATGATCCCAATTTAACTGATGAGTGGCTTACATAATATTCATAATTAACCCTCAAAACAATTCAATGGGGAAAATAATATTATTGTAACCACTTGAAAAATGACGAAACTAAGGCAAAGGAGGTTAAAGAACTGGCTCAAGATCCCACAAGTGGTAAATGGAAGCCAGAATTTGAACACAATTGTGCTGATCGAAAAGTCTATGGTCTATCCCTCAGCATCAATGCCTCTGTTCTTTTGTAAAAATGTATAATTCTGGGATAATTGTAGATTCACATGCAGTTATAACAAATAAAGAGATCCCATATATTTTTCACTCAATTTTCCCCAATGATAACATTTTGTATAACAACAGTATATTGCAGGAAATTGACATTAATACAGTCCACTGACCCTTTTCCAGATTTCATTTTTATGTGCACTCATGCATATTAAATATATTTAGTTCTATGTAATTTTATCACATGTATAGATTTGTGTGAATACCACCAGTCAACACACAAATAACTCTACCACAAACATTCTTCATGGTACCTTGTGATAGCCATAGTTGCCTTCTCCCTTTACTTCAATTCCTGGCAACTACAACTCTGTCCTCATCTCCACAACTTTGTCATTTCAAGAATTCTATATAAATGGAATCGTATAGTATGTAACCATTTGAAATTGGTTCTTTTCACTCTGCATAATTCCCTTAAGACCCATCCAAGTTGTTGCATGGTGTCAATAATTTGTTCCTTTCTTATTGATGAGTAGTATTCCATGGTATAGATGTGGTACAGTAGGCAGATAGCCAGACATGAGGAGGAAAAGGGAGGCCCTGAGAAAAGGAGTCTGGAAAATCTCACACCCCAGAGATCACCCTAAACAGGTGTGCTAGATATGAACAGACAGGAAGGGAAATACCTAGGTAGAAAGGAATTCCCCTTAAGACTGCAGTGATTGCTCACTCTGCCAGTTAACCTGCCAGAATGTAGCTAGATGCATGCTAAAGGGAAGAGGGCAAAGGAGAAAATTCCTAAGAGATACGCAGAAGCAATTCGTGTCCAACATCGGGTTCACTCGTGCACACCAATAGTAAGGGAGGGTCCCACAACCTTGGGGCGGGAACTAGGTGAGGGAAAAGGCAGGGACTTAAGGCAGATGCAGAAAACTAAACAAAGTAAAAAGGTGGAGACTAAGAAAGAGGCAGGAACTTCAAGAAAAAAATCTGTAATCATAAAAACCCAACACAGAACTCTTGGGGTACTGCTGGCTCACTCTCTTTCAGCAGCTCACCCTGCCTCATCTTTTCAGAGTGTACTGTTTCTCTAGATAAACTCCCTGCTCTGTATTTTCCTTCAATGAATTCTCTTTTTCTGGCTAAATCAGTAGCTTGGCAGAATCCTTTCTCCAAATAAGACTAAGAACCAAACAGTAATAGATGTACCAATCTGTTTACCATTTACCCACTGAAGGGCATCGGGTTTCTATGAGATTGAAAGAATCAAAATGTTTTTCCTACTCTCTCAACACAGAAGACTTCTGTGACCAAATGTGGGTGAGGAGTTTCTCCTGACAACTAATTTTCTGAGGCTAGCTGGGTGTCCCACAGTTCAACTCTGATACTATCCACCTGGATGTAGAGTCAGAACCTACAGGTTTAGGTCTCGGTCCCACAAGACTGCTTCCCACTTCAGATGCCAATCCAAGTTCTGGCTGTTATAAATTGGGGATTCCCACAATCCCCTCCTCAGGTTCAATCATTTGCGAAAGCAGTTTACACAATCCATAAATGCGTTTTACTTATCTTTACTGGTTTATTATAAAACATATTACAAAGGATATAGCTGAACAGTTAGAAGATAAGCATAAGGTAAGGTACGAGCCATAAGGGGTGGGGGTGGTACAGAGTTGCCATGCCCTCTTGGGGTACAACAACCTCCATGAGTTCAGCAACCCAGAACCTCTCTGAACCTTGTTTTTAGGCATTATATGGAGGCTTCATCACGTAAGCATGATTGATTTAAACCACTGGTCACTGGTGATCAACTCAACTTTCAGACCCTCTCCTCTCCCTGAGGGTTATAGGGGAGAAGGGCTGAAAGTTTCTACCCTCTAATCACCTGATTGTGACATGATGGCAACCAGCTTCCATCCTGAGGCCTTCCAGGAGACTCCAGCCACCAGTCACCTCATTAGCGTACAAAAGACAGTTAACATTTCCGAGACATTGCAAGGGTTTTAGTAGCTTTGTGTCAAAAATGAGACCAAATAGTATATATTTCTTATTAGAAATCACAATATTGCAGGGTTGTTTCCAGTTTTAAGCGATTACAAATAAAGCCACTCTGAACATCTGTGTATGTGTTTTCTGTGAACATAAGTTTTTATATCTCTCGGATAAATGCCCAAGAGTGTAATTGCTGGGTCGTATGTTAAGCTCATGTTTAGTTTTATAATAAA